AAGAGATTCAACCAGGCTGGACAAGAGAGAGGCAGCTGGGCTGGGAAGAGATGGGTGACTGGTGAGAGAGAGGTTCGCTCTTAGCGCTAGATATATTTATTTTTTTTTTCCGTGATATTAAACTGTCTAGTTAATATCAAACTGTCGACGTTAATATAAACAGTATTATAGGTACTATGTTCTTTTCCAAAATTATAGCAATAATACAACCTTGCGACTTTAGATTCTAATATTTCACAGAATTAAATATGAAGCATATATTAGTAATCATATATATATGTGTGTGACACTAGAAAGAAATAAATCCCCATTTCACAAACTATAGTTAAGAACAAACCATTTTATCAAACAATCTCTTTTTGATAAGAATTATCAAATAGTTATAACAAGAATTCAAACAGGAATACCAAATATTTTTAAAACCAACATAATATTTCAAATCATTTTACTTTAAAACCACACCTCATTTGAAATCCAAACTCGATGTTGTGCCAGAAAGGATGTCGATTTTCTGATAAATTGATTAATCCAAGGCGATTGAAACTCATAAAATCCACCGAATCACTTCAAAGTTTTGACCTTTTTTTCAGAAATATATAGAATAAATGAAACAAAATTATTATTAACAAAAATGAACTAAGAATTGAACTTGCAGATATAAAGAAAACGAAAAGCAAATAACAAGCAAATTGGATAACATTAGAAACCTAAAACCCAAATGTTAAATTTTGTTTCCGATTGATGTTATTTTCTTGGAAAAATTAGACAAAAAACACAGAAATTACAAGTGGAAGAAAAAAAAAAACATAGGAGCAAGCAGGAACTTACCTGATGAAACTGGAAGAAGCAAGAAGCAAGAATCAAACTGTCGCCGCCGTGAGCTCCACCTCCAGGGCAATTGGAACCAAAAACGACATCAAGTGAAAAACGAAAATCAACCAAAAACGACATCAACCAAAAACGAAATCAAACAAACATACCCATTTCTGTTTGGTTTGCTCTGATTCAGAGATAAATCATAAATCAAAAAACAAAATAAAAAAAATCTGGAAGAAGAAGAGGAACAGTGGCTTACGATGAACGGCGAGGAACGGTGAGTGTGAGGAACGGCGAGGAATGGCGAGAAACGGCAAGGAACGGCGAGTAATTTAGGGATGAGGGATTTAGGGTGAAGGAGGAGGCGAGGCGAGGCGTGTGTGAGGTGAGAGGCCAGAGGAGAGGAGGGAGATGAGAGGCGAGGACAACAGAGGATCAGGATTCAGGAAAGAGTCGAGAGACTGAGGTGAGGAGTGAGGACGAAGGATTTAGGAATTAAGGCTAATGCTTCAAAACGGCCGGATCAGGACATTACGGGTTTAAGCATGTCCGACCCGCCCCCAACCCGCACAATGCGGGTTGGAACCATTTTAATCCAACAAAAAACTTATTTAGTCAAATCAGGCAGATTTTTTAATTCGGACTCAATTCTTACACACTACGTGTTTAGCACGGTTCTGTTCCAGCAAATAGTTTTACTTAATATTTATTTTCTAAATAAATAATTATACTAAACAATAGCAGTTGACATCTCAGCAGGTAAACTGTCCCTTTCGTCACCGTACTTTCTTGGCTTTTGAGTGTTTTTTTCTAACGAAACGGTCCTCAATTTGGTTCTACCTCCTTCAAGTCTTCTACGGAAATGAGAGAGAAGATGAAAGAAGAATGATGTGAAAAACCGTTCCTCTGCGCCACCGAACGCTCACCCGATCCGTTCTACACAGTCGATTCTCTCTATTCTTTCTCTCTCTTCACTTTTTTGAGAGAGAGAGAAAGAAAGACGACCCAATTGCCTGCCAAGCTTCCGCAACCCCACGAATCATGCTCTTAGAGTCCCTCAGGTTGACCAACTCCTCCACCATCGTCCTCATGTTCGGCTTCCTCTTCTTCATCCTCTTCTTCTCCGGCTTCCTCGAATTCCCATCCATTTCCACTTCCCTCAAACCCATCTCCGATCCCACACTTTCCGCGCCCCAATCCGCGCCGGACCCGTTTACCGATCTGTTCGGCGCGTTCCGGAAATGGGATTCGCAAGTGGGTTGTGCCCGTTTCAGGGAAAAGCACAAGGAAAAGGGCATGGCGGTGATCCAGAACGAAGGGAGTAAAAGAAATGGGTCTTCTTCTTCTTCTTTGCAAGAAGGTGATAATGAATCTGAGTGTGGGGAGCTGAAGATGGAGCATGTGAGTTTGTTGGTGAAAGGGTGGACTTGGATTCCTGACAATTTGGATAATTTGTACTCTTGCGGTTGTGGGTTGAGCTGCTTGTGGACCAAGTCCCCTGTTCTTGCTGATAAGCCTGACGCCTTGTTGTTTGAGACAACCACGCCTCAGCTTCTGGTATATATTCATCTTTTACTCAACTTCTTGAATTCGTTAATTCTGTTTGTGGAAATTGTGATGAAAATCAGTTTCAAGGAAAAGGATTTTTTTTTTGTCTTTTGTTTTGTTTTTTTTGTGTTTTTTTGTTCATTTGTTTATTGGAGAAATGGGATATGGATCTCTCGCAGAATGGATTGTCCCTAGACCCTGTTATCGCAGTAGAATTGACTTGAACTCAAGATCTTGTTGAAAAGAACGAGCAAACGTTACCACCCTATCGAATCATTTTGTTTTATGTGTAGAAAATATTGTTCTACTAAGAATGTGAGGTGGGTAGGTTTGGATTTTACCACATGATGTTGAATCCTTCGTGATCTTTGATCTGGCACATTTAGCAATAGATGGTTTATTCTGATGCTGCTTAAGTTTGCAATCTGAGAATTTGTCTTAATTTTGGGAGGTGTGCGTATAGAATGACAGATGGAAGTATGACCATTTTGGGGTGGGAATGTAGATGCAAAGGAAATGACGAGAGATCAAATATAGGAAACTCTTGATCCGATATTCGTACCCCTAGGAGTATTTTTTACCAAGTTCACAACTTTTGCGAAGTAGGGATACTTATTTTCTTGACGTGAAAATAATTAGAAGAGATCTCTTTTGCTGTCTTTTACCGGAACCAATTATTACTGGATTAAAATCCTACCTATAAGTTTTCCCTGACTTTTGTTCTGTTTATTAAACCTTTAAAACCAGTTACAGAAACTTTGCTTGTTGTTTCTATTAGAGTTATCATATATAGTTGTCCATATTTTTGTCACTGAACTTGCATCGACAAAAACTTGCTCATGCCCACATCACAGTCACCAGTTACACAATTGGTACCAGTAGCTGTAAGGACATTTTTTGAGACCATATGTAACTGTCTATCTGATTGGCTCATTCTGTGCATTAATCATTCAAGATTTTTACTTCAAACCAAGGATTTATGCCAAGTTTCATTAGCCACCAAAACTGAAAATTTTGGAACTAGCAAGAGATAGTATGGTACTCTGAGTCCAACCCAGAATTTAATAGAGACACTGGGAGACTGACTGTGTATTCATAGAAGGTGGGATTTAAGGTTTGGGAAACTTATGGTTTAGAGGTTTGGAACCATGAATCATGTATATCAATCATAAAATAGAACACTTAAGATGTAAAGTCTCAAGTGCATTTATAATATGGAAAAACTAAATAACAATACCATCATTCCCTGACAATCATACTATGGGCACAAGCTATCCATCGGGTTAGTAGCTTCATTTTTTTTTAGTTTTTAAACTTTTTTTTTTTGTCAATATAGTTTAGAGAACATATATGATAATATTAGGAGGAAAAGAAGATATATATTCATATGTCTTTGTGAAATTTCTCCTTTTTAAGAGCAAAAGTAGATGTGTGTGTGCGCGAGCGCGCATAAATATATGTATCAGAAATTGAAGATTCTGCCATTAAAAGCTAGGTCAAGAAGATTTAGTGGAAAAGAAGTTTTCTAAAGGCTTACTGATAGAGGCCATGGATGGAGATGCTGCAAGCGAAGAGGAATAAGAAGTAGTGTGTCACTCAAAGGCTGAAAGCAGCTATAGTTGCACTTATGGTTGTTGTCATGGGTGAGGATTTCATCCAAGAAGTTGCAGAAACTTGTTAAATCATTTTTGTGTCAATCCTACAGAAACTGATTCCGTATTCGTTTATTTAACTAGACGAGAATGACAAAGAAAGGAAACACAACGCATAAGATTACTGTTTGCAGCACTTTCAATTTTGGTGATTCCAAGTTTTTATCTTGTGGAGGACTGGGACACACATGCAGGGTGAAGTTTAGAGTAGCCATAGTTTCAAATTTGATTCATGGATTTCAAAGTATATAGCCTTTTAACATGCAGGATAGATCTGAAATTTCACAAAAGTCTGGTTCAGAAAATTGTGTTTCCTTAAATATGTTGACTCTTAGAAACTTTTACGAGTTCTTAGAGTCATTTGAGCGTTTACTAGGATTTCAAGTTAGTTCCTGTAGTTGGCGGGTGGCTAGGTCCAAATCTAAATGTTAATTGAAGCAGATCAAGTGGTAGCATAGCAACTAGCAATAGATAGCATGAGCGAATACTGAAACGTGATAGGCTTAGTTCTTTTGCTGTTGTTTATAAAGATTTACAATATCCTTTGGTAATTGTTGCCCATCTTGTTATAAAATTTTCAACTATAATTAGCGTTGGGGAAAATGAATCGATTGTCATGTGTAAGTGCGAAACACAGATTTGACTTGTTTGTTTGTTCTATCAGTTTTGTCATTCTTCTCATAGACCTTCTACATATTGTGGTATATCGACTACATATATTCAACCTTGATTTGAAGCTACTATCGTCTTTAGGAACCTTTTGTATACTTGGAGTTTACAAGTAGTTTGCCAAGGATGTAAATGTCAATAACATTGGGGAATTTTTCATCATTTTACTTTAAGGACCAATTTTCATCGTCTCAAACATCAATATCAAAATGAATTCAATACTTTCAGATTTGGAAATGTGTTCAAGGTGTCCGCTTTGGTTATAACAAAATTTTTTCTCAAGATTTTGTGCTTGCATAATTCCAAGGGTAATTATTGACATTCCACATTTAGATTTATTATTTTTTCTATATCGGCGCTATTGATAAAGCTATCATGAAAGAAAGATGTTTAAAAGGAATATAGGAAAACATAAGTGGAAAATGTTAGAATAACAAAAGGAGTTAATTATACGCTACCAATATTCTAGGATTAACTTGTAGCTTTTTCCATGACAAATTCCTGATATTTTGGGAAAAAAATTATTTTCCTTATAAAGTCGTGTCCACACTGGAAGCCTAGAGTACCGAATACCGATTAGGTCAGGAAAATCATAGAGAGGCTATTTTCTGATCATAAGCACTCGGGAACATCAGGGCGTGGTAAAACCAAGGGAGAATGATGTAGGTAGTGTGGTGTAAGATCATGAAAAACAAACTCAACTGGCATCAGTTTAACAATTCTCTTATTCTGTCATCTGATTGTTCGAGAATTTCATCTATTCATTTTTCATTCTTAGTCATTTACCGACACTCTTGGCTTGCTTCTAATGAAAACTTTGATGGAGATAGTTTTGTTGCTTTTGGTTATACATTCATATATCGTCTTTGATCAGCTCTCTTATTGTTCTCTTTGATCCTGGAAACTTTCCCTTGTTCTTATTGGTTTACCTTGTACATTTTTTTGCATTCAAACTCTATAGTGACTAGCTTCTCATGCTTTGGTAGAGACGCGCTGGTGATCCGCTTCGTGTATATATGGATCTCGAGGCTGGGAGGAAGCGATCTGGCATGGAGGATATTTTTGTCAGTTATCACGCTGAAGATGATGTACAGTCCACTTATGCCGGTGGACTTTTTCACAACGGTCGAAATTATCACGTTTCTTCTTATAAGAAAAATGTAAGTATATGAGTGTTATTTTTCTTCCTTTGCTTATTGCCATATTCTGTACTATTTTGAGCCAAATATTCTTGTCATAAATGTAGCAGTTGTAACTCAATCTGTGGATTTTGTTTGAAGGATACGCTCGTTTATTGGTCATCCTCGCGTTGCCTTCCTAAAAGAAATCAGCTTGCCAAGAAGCTTCTCAGCTTGTTGCCTCACCATTCATTTGGTCGGTGCTTGAACAATGTTGGTGGTCCAGACATGGCCCTTTCTTTATACCCGGAGTGTTCCAATGGCCCCAATGTTTCCCCAAAATGGTGGGATCACTTGCATTGTGCCATGTCCCATTACAAGTTTGTTCTCTCGATTGAGAACACGATGACAGAAAGTTATGTGACGGAGAAACTGTTCTACGCATTAGACTCCGGTTCGGTTCCTATCTATTTTGGTGCCCCAAACGTGCGGGACTTTGTTCCACCACATTCAATCATTGATGGGTCTAAGTTCAATTCCTTGGAGGAATTGGCTTCTTATGTTAGAGGCCTTGCTAATGACCCGGTAGCCTATGCAGAGTACCACGCATGGAGAAGATGCGGGGTGTTAGGTAACTATGGAAAGACTCGTGCCGTGAGTCTCGACACCTTACCGTGCCGGTTGTGTCGGGCGGTTAGCAGAAAAGGTGGGAGAAATGCAAGAGCCATTTAATTTTTTTTTGGTCCGTTCCAGTCACATATTTGTGATTCTTCCGTTGATGACCACAGTGGTTTTGTGATAGGTATATGATGAGGAGATATAATTTAGTGCCTAAATATAGGAATACAAAGGGATTTTACAGCTGAGATATGTCCAGGCAACTTTTTTTTTTAATTTATTTTTTCTTTTAGGCTAGGAATATCAATATTTTAACTGAAACTGAAGTAAATCCATCTGACATTCAATGTCATTGTCAACATTTTCCAGCCACCAGTCATGGCAAAATTCTAGATTGCATGCATTCACAGCAAATTTAGTAGACCTATAATCACCTAAATATTCATGTATCATTAAATTTTTTTTTTAAAAAAAGTATTAGAAAGACCAACTTTTGCTCTGGCATAATAAAGAAATATTTACTCTCACTATTCATATGCATATATGGCACAAGCCACAAGGCCACTACAAGTCTAGATCCACATTATTTAGATTGCACCTATTTAAATTTTGTCAACATCCAATATTTAAGTCGAGTTAAGATATAATTTTATATGAGAGCTTTTTAATATAGTAAAAAAATTAGATGTGACTGTTTTAAAGAGCTTTTACTGTAGCAAAACTCGAATTTTAAACTCGAATCAGTGAAATGAACAGAGTCTTAAGCTAAAAACAATCTCCCTATTTATTTTTGAGTTGGCAATTATCTATTCTCCCATTTCCTCTTTGTTTAGAGAGAGAGAGACTGGTTTTTGAGTTGGCAATTATCTATTCCCCCAATTTTCTCTTTGTTTAAAGAGAGAGACTGGCTCGTTCGGTTCATAGATAAGGCGCCAAACAATTTTATTTTAAACAACACATTAGACTGTTAAAAACAAACGTTAAAGTCAACACTTTTCTTTACTCTTAGGTCTCATTCATTTCACCGATTCGAGTTTTCAGTTTTAGGTTTTTACAGTAAAAAGTTATCAGAAAATGTCACATCTAACTTTTTGCTACAGTAAAAAGCTCTAAAAAAAATGCCACATCTCAGTTCGAATTGAAAACTTAAATCTGCGAAGTGAACAAGACCTTAGATTTAACGATGATTTTTGATTCCCACTTTCTCTGCGGGCCTTTCTTCCATTTGTTCCCTTAAATGGTTGATATTGTTAACGTAAAAAAGCTACATACATATGTGTATGTTGAGAAAGTAACACAATTTTCATATGGAGACTTTTTCAGTAATGTTAATTTTATTGTCACACTCCTTGGTCTAAAGAACTTTCATTTGTTGATATCCTTTTTAATAAAGGAAACAACATATATAACAACGGATATCAGGGGATATAATAATCCAACTAAAAGACATTAATTTTGATTTTTTACTAGAATTAAGTAATATATGTCTAAGAAATGATATCAGCTGACATAACGTTTAACTGATCTTCTTCCCCATCTTCTTTGTGGAACTTCCACACTGAAGCCATAATTCCACTATTTGAAGCTGAGGATTTAGACTTGCCAATCTTTTGGATCTGCATTTTTTTTTTCAAAAAAAAAAAAAAAAAAGTATCAGCAATATTTTTGTTAAAAGCCAATCATACATATAAGGGAAATGATCATTTATTCCAAAAGGCAAAAAAGAATTGATGATCAGGTTGACGTTTAATAAATATGGTAATTTGATTAATATATAGAAATTACTTTTGGTCTGGCAGTGTTGCTCTTTGTAATCTTTACTGTCTTTAACTCCTCAGGTCTGTTTTCTATGTATCCCCTCAATTGTTGATCATTCATACCATCTATCATGTTGGCCTGCCAAAAATTGAAGATTAGACTTTCAAAAATAAACTTAAAATTTCTATTAACAATTATATATAGGCCTTTTCTACAATCTCTTCGTTAGGACGATCCCTTTAACATAACTTTTAAAACGTATAACATGATATTCATTAAACGAGAGATGTTTTTAAGGTTTTTTTTTCCCTCCAATCTTTTCCCTTTTCTAGAACCAACAACGTGCCATTTGAGAATATTTGCAACCTCTCAAAGTTAATCTCGGAGCAAAAAAAGAGAAAAAAGAAAACGCTAGAATTTATTAGTTTCGTAGAAACACTGCTTTTGTTTTCTACAATTGCTTAATAATAATAATACTTAAAAAACATGCATTCGGAAAAAAATATAAAAAAAAAAAAAAAAAACAACACTGAGTAGACTAGAAGATGATCTAATACCCATGTATTGAGATCTTTTATATCTTGTTTGAGAGCTTCTTCTTCTCTATCTGCAAGATGTTTCCTCTCCCTCCAAGAAATAGCCTTATTGGGCTCGATTATTGTCTTCCTTTTATTCTTTCCTTCCTTCAATGCAGACATATTCCTCTAATTATTAGCTAGATTGCCACTACTGATTGTACATATATAACGTAAATGAGAGATTGTAATTAAATATATACCAATATACACATACATAATACGTGTATATATGTGTGTATATCTATATATATATATATAGAATTGACTTGGCGTTACATTGTTGAAAGAGTAGCAACTAGCAATAGGTGGTGGGAACGTTAAAGATAGTTATGCAGAATAAATGCGCGCGTTAAAGTTATTTTTATCAAGTCATGACTCTTGTGGAAAAGTAAGCAGCTTCGAATGCTCAAGCCATATATATTCATGCATGGCAATTTTTATTTATTTTTTATTTTTTTATGATTAAAATGCTAATTGTAGTTCTTCCTCTAAAGCAGTTTTGGGCATGTTTTTTTGGAGTGTAACTTGAGTGTAACTTAAGTGTAGTTTTTGAGTTATAACTTGAGTTGAAGTTGTAACTTGAATAAAATTAAGTAAAGTTGAATAAAATTAGAACTTAAAAGAACGTGAACTTGAATAAAGTTATAACTTGAGTTTAAACTTTTTCTGAGTTTTGTTGCAAAAGAATAACCCCTTAGTTTGCTAGGTCATTCTCGAGTGACATGTGGCTCCCTTTCTTCTTTTTAAGATTATAATAATAATAATAGGAATGGGAGAATTCATACTCTAAAGTTGATCATTAAAGATATAAATGTGGAGTTACTGTTAGATTAAACATGCTCTGTACAAAGATATTGCATGTAACCACCCAACTCACTTTCTTTTTGTACGAGGATACTCTATCTAAAAATAGTTATCTTAAAACAGTATATTTAAGGATAATATTTAAAACATTCATTGTATTTTAATTAAATACTACTTTTGTCTTTCTGTAAATGCTCAAAACACCTCTCGTGTATATAAAATCATACTCAAAATACACCCTGAAGCAATTAAATTTTGTTCCACTCATATTGAATACAATTGAAACATTACTATACAAAAATATTAAATAAAATCAATCTTAAAAAATGAAATATTTGTTCAATTAAAATATTTATTTGAATATTTTAAAAATATTTTTATTTAATCTTTTAGTTAGATTATATCTAAAATAATATTTAATATAAAACGGAAGGTTACATTTTTAAAATTGAATTGCTTTAGGATATATAGAGTCTCATTATAAACACACAAGGGTGTTTTAGATATTTATATAATAAGAAAGATAAAAGTGATATTTAGACAAAATAAAAAAGGTATTTTTTTTAAACATATTTATAGATTGTAACTCCTGTTTAAATCTACAAAAACTTATTAAATGCGTCAATTTTCAAGTTTAGTATCCGAAGTTTTGAAGCATTTTATGGTCACGTTTAGTTCAGCGATTTGAGTTTTTTCGCTTTTTATTTAAATTAATATATAATTTTATGTAAAAAATTTTAACTGTAATAAAATTAAAATTAAAAATTTAAATTGATAAAATGAATGAGGTTATGTATATTATTTTGTTTTCTCAACCCAACCATCATTGTCATCTCTTGTTTTTCTTTTGTTTTTTTGTTTTTTTCCCCTCGTTATGCATTATCTGAGACCCGTTATTCTAATTGGGTGTGATTGGAAAAGAGTACCTATTCCATTTCCTTTTTCCACGTCAGATGGTCTTTGTACAATGTATTCTTGTGCTTGGTGCAATGCTTTCAAATGTGATTATGTGACCATGATTTGAGCAAAAGCTCCGTCTTGTTGTGTTGACTCTTTCAGCATTTGGTGAATTTTGTGACTGTCCGGGGCAATAAAGAGGTTATGGAGTTGTTTAAAAGTTATATTCAAATTTAAATTATGATTATCTCATAGTGTTTTTTTATCTTATAAAGAGTTTAAATTTTAATATTTTTTTTCTCATAAAATTCATACTAATAAACCTAAATCATAATTTGGGTGTACCTTCTAAACGAACCTTAAAAGTATTTGGGGGAAGAGACGAGTAAAAATAATGACTTAAGTAAAATTTTGATAGAGAGTAAATAAGAAAAAAAAGAACTGATCAAATAATCATTGAAAGAAATTTTTTAAGTGTTGAGAACCTAGTTTCCTTAGACCACTCTCTAGTAGAATTGTCGTTTAAGAGCCCGTTTAGTTCGTTTATTCGAGTTTTTAATTTGAGTTGAGATGTGTCTTTATGTGAGAGTTGTTTACTGTAGTAAAAAAGTTAAATGTAACTGTTTTTTAGAGCTTTTTTACTGTAATAAAATTTGAATTCTAAACTCAAATCGATAAAATGAACGGGCCATCAATATTCAAAGCTACTATTTAGTGATTAATACAAATGATGATTAATTAAAATACAAAAATAATTAGCCAAAGGCAAATTAGAGAAGTGTAGGGAAAAAGATGATGTGGATAATTTTCCAATGCTATGCCACATATGAAAGAGTAAAGTAAATGGTAACAGTGAATTACTATACTTATTAGAATAAAAAGTAAATAAAGGAGGTTGTTGCAATCAAAACGATGGGTGCGTTTGGAATTGGTTCCAAAACGTTTTTATTTTTTGTATGAAAATGAAAACGAAAACGTTTTTATTTTCATTTTGAAATCATTTCTGAAAATGCATTTGGTAGTTTTATTCCGAGATTGTTTTCAGTTTAAAAAAACTGAAATTGTGTTTTGTGGTTTAATTTTTAAAAACATGTAATAATATTTAAATTAATAATATATTAAATAAATAATAATATTAAATATATTAAATAAACATTATTATATCTATTAAATATATATGTTGCCCTTGAATAAGGTAGCATTGGAATTAAGTTATCATTTTTTCCTTTTTAGAAGGGAAGTTGTAAGGTCGCCGGAAGGCAACTGGAGTTTAAGGTTCCTTGTTGCTCAATGCGCGGGGGGGCAGTCGCAGAAGAGTTGGGGGAGCAGTCGGGGTGGTGGGCGAAGGGAGAAATCATCCGTTTTCAAAAAAATTGAGTTTTTGGGAAAAATCCAAAAACGTTTTTGTTTTTGGTTTTGGTACGGATTCTTCCCAAACACATTTTCATTTCCCGTTTTTATTTTTTCTTCTCGAAAAACGTGAAAAACGAAAATAAAAATGGAAATAAACGGACCCGATACTTCCCACTGTTAATGCAATAGTTGACTTTGGGTGTTTCCTATTATGTAGTTAGTGTAATAGTTGACTTTAAATGTTTTCCTTTCTAGTATTCTGTAATCTCTATATAAAGGCTCTAAGCATAAACAAAACGGGTGGTCGTATAGGAAAAAAAAAGACACTTATTGCAAGAAAAAATAAATAAAATGTACGTATCTCAATGCAAACAACAATTTATATAGTAAGCAATTGCGACGACACAATCTACTAATTAAACGATAATATGAGTTGTTTTGATAAAACTATCTATGTGTCAAGTTAACTGTAAACAATAGAATATAAAATGAGAACCAATATAATACTAGAAAAGAAAATGAACTAAAAATATAAAATACAAAAAAAAACAAGAAATTAAAATCTTATTTACTAAGTGCCGAATAAATCTTTTCAACGAAACAGTAGATTAAATGTTTATGAAATAACGTTGGGGACAGTAAATTACATATCTATGAAATAATTACTTTAGATTTGAGATATCATTTACTCAAGTACCAAATTAAAAGGAGTTTTTAACTATTTTGTTTGGTTCAAGCGGTAAAATGAAAATACATTTCAAAACTGGAATGGTATGTCGGATGTATTGTCCGAAGACATTTTTAAAGGCGTTCGGTTCGCTAATTTGAGTTTTTAATTCGAGTTAAAATATGATGTTATGTGAGAGATTTTTACTGTAATAAAAAGTTAGATGTGATTATTTTTGAGAACTTTTTACTGTAGCAAAATTCGAATCAATGAAAAGAACGGGGTATCCTTTCTTTTACATTTTTCTTTTTGCTAGTTTTTTTTTTTGCTGAAATTAAAGGCATATTTTTTTGTCCAAAAAACTCAAAAAAAGACAACTCGAGTTTGAACTTTATTTAAGTTCACGTTTTTTAAAGTTTTAACTTTATTTAACTTTACTCAACTTTATTCAAGTTACAACTTCAACTCAAATTATAACTCAAATTTAACTTAAAAATTATACTCAAATTACACTCTAAAAAAATAACCCCTTACTATTTGCTAGTTATCCTAACTTTTACTCATTTTTACGTATTTGATATTATTATATTATTTGCAGAAAATCAAATTCAAACTTCAGTTTCTAAAATCTATTAATTAAATTAAATTTAGGGGAATCATCATCACTGAAAATAAATGGCATGTCTATCGATTTTGAGATGATTATCATGTCATCTCTCCATTAAAAACAAAGAACCAACTCATAACACGTGTCTCCTAACAAAAAAAAAAAAAAGAAACCGCGTATAATAGAGACTTCTTTAGAAATCTCGGGATCATGGGACCTGTTGGACTTTTGAATTGGTGGTGGTGTTGAAAGTAGATAATACCAAACTAATCATTGAATTTCAGGGAAAAAAAAGTACTCATTGAAAAAATGACTTTCAAAAAACTAATCATAAAAATCACCATATATAAACAAAAAGAGAGTTAGCAAAATAGAGTTAAAAAAAAGAATTTAGTTTAAGAAAAAAAATACATTTTAAAGGGAAAAAAAATTTATAACACTAAAATCGTGTTCAGAATTGATTCCGTTTTTATTTTTTACATTTTTTGAGAAAAAAAATGAAAACGTTTCTCAAACGACGTTTAGTGCAATAAAGACAAAAAACAGAAATAAAAATGATTTTTTGATTTAGTGTAAAATGAGAGAGAAATAAAAAATGACTTTTAGTCATTTTTTATTTTTTATTTTTATTTTCTCATCTCTTGAGCAGAGAGAGAGAAAGAGAGACATTAATGATTTTTTTATACTGAAAATAATCTCTTGATAAAACTACCAAACACATTTTTAAAAATAATTTCTGTCTGAGATTGAAAACGTTTTCATTTTCATTTTCATATAAAAAGTAAAATTATTTTAGAATGAGTTACAAACGCGTCTTAATTTTTTTTTTAAATTAAATATTATTCATTTTACTGATTTAAATTTTAAATTTTAATTTTATTATAATTAAAAATTCTCATAAAAAATTATATTTATTTTTTTATTATAATTAAAATTTTTTCATAAAATTATGTTTTAATTTAAATTAAAAACTTAAAATTGTATTATTGTAGGTAAACAATACCGTACTTTTTCATTACGAGTGCAGCAGAGTTTCTATAATATATATATATATATATATAAACAAGCGCAAAATTCATTAATAAAAAAAAAAAAACCTCCTCCATTTCCCATAACAAAAAAAAAAAAGAAAAAGCTGGACAATTATATAATGAAAAAAACTTATCCATTTTAACGCGAAAAAGGAAAGGAGAAAAGAGAGAAAATCCATACTAATCTACTAATTGAAACAACTTGCTGGTTTTGTCTGTTTGTTTGCGAATATACAAATAGGAGCTTCAATTTCTGTTGCCGAAATCCCAAAATATAAAAATAGGATCTAATAAGATTCAGATATTCTTTTGAAATGGAAGCCGATGTATCTATTCCTCTTTCGAAACCCTAATTTTCTGAGCGTTTGGAAGGAAAGATTTCTGCTTTCTTCTGTTGTGTCCGTTAAAGGAAAGAGAATCGTAAGAATCTGGTGAGTTTTGATTGGGAAGTATGAATTCGGTGGTTGTTTTTTCGGTGATGTTTCTGTTGAGTGGCTTCTCTCTAATATCGGCCAACGTTGTGCTGATTGGGAATAATGTCACACTCTCTTTCGACGACATCGAAGCCAATTTCGGTCAGTTTTATTTTTCTTGATTATTTTTGGTTGTGGATTTTGTTTGTTTGCTGGGAAATTGCGAGGAAATTGGTTTCTTGGATTGCGAAAGTTATGCAATTATTTATGAGCTGTTATTGACTTCTGAATTTCCTTTTCTTCGCCTTAATTGTCTCGGAAAAAGAAAATTTTACTAGAAATGAAAGATTTTGCTGGACTAGGTTATGTTGGAGTTTAGGAAGGATGAAAGCTTTTGAATTGGAAATATTTGAAGAAGCTGTCAATTGAAAACAAAGAAACTGGTAGAGGCTTTATGGAGATAATATTTGTGTGCATATGGGTTTTTTGTTAGTTCTGAGAGGCTAAGAATATTTGGAGAATTTATAAGAATGACGTTAGTGATCTTATTCTAACCTATCTAATCCCTTATAGAACACAACAAGAACGCAAAGATATTTTAGTTCAGCTGAGTGCCTCCAGAAAACTTGTTCACTCAGGATCAAGAATGTTTATTCCCCATTTCTCTCTCTAGATTACAAGAGCGTTTTCTCGCACTAGGTTTCTAGAATATCTTTAACTGTTCTTTTATGTTATAAGGAATATACATATGGTTGGTTGTTGTATACATGTTACAGGGATAAACCAAACTGTTCATTTATGTTACAAGGATATGCAATTGCAATGCATAAGTGCTTATTCTGTGTGTGTTTGAGTTGGTACCGTGGTGCTAATGTTTTTTCTTGTGGTGTTGGTTTCTTCAGCTCCAGCAATAAAAGGATCTGGGGAATGTGGAGTTTTGTATTCAGCAGAGCCTGTTGATGCGTGTTCTAAATTAACAAATAAAGTTAAGCCAGCAAAAAACGGGAGCTCCCCATTTGCTCTAATAATTAGGGGAGGGTGCAGTTTTGAAGAGAAAGTTCGAAGAGCACAAGAGGCTGGCTTTAAAGCTGCGATTGTCTATGATAATGAAAATGGTGGTGCCTTGGTTGCAAGTAAAGACCTTTCCTTGTTAAATTTATGTATGCATGAACAAAAAACTTGTATATGCACGAGCTTTTCTGTTTGTCTTTATTCTTTATGTGCGTGCTACTTCTACGAAAGTGAATGTTTCACTGTAAATCTAGGTCAATAAGGTTGAGCTTTGCATCGTAATTTTATAGATGATAACCAATTGGATTAGACAATTAGTGTTTATGGTTTTGTCAACTTTTAAGAGTTATCAAAGTGGAATCTTGGAGCTCATGGGACGATTTTATCACTACTATCATTTCTTTTGTTAACATGAAAACAAACCATGTGAAACAATTACTTGCTCAGTTAACAGAACAACAACTTATGCTTTAATCATTTTACTCAGGGTTAGCAACTCCCTTGTGACTTATTATTTGGCTAAGATAAGAACATATTAGCTTTTGTAAGGACATTCTATTTTCTTTGTTTTGAGTAATCCATAGCAGCATGGTTGTTTTTACTGAATTAGCAGCATGGTTGTTTGATACCAAAAGGTGAGCTTTTGATAGTAGTTCTTAGAAACTTCATGATATCTGGCTATCTGCTAAAGTGAAACAATATCTTTGATTGCGTTGATTACTTTGAAGTTTGAATCATGCATGTGTTGGATTGCGGGTATTTTTTAGAATTAGAACATCGGATTGGTGGTGGGATTAGCACATATCTGATAGATATGTGGCAATGCATGCACGCACGCACATAAATGGTCAAAAGAATAACGTTTGAAAAGTCAACTTTATCATCTCAAAAAGTGTGTTCCTTGTACGTGTGTTTGTGTTTGATATTCAAAAGGAAAAACCAAGCGGTTGAGGTAATGTATTTAAGAGCCTAAGTTGGTCTGAGTTCTTCATAGCAGACTGTTTAGCCTTTTGAATTGAGAAAATGATTGTACTTCATCATTGAGAAGTCTGGAGTTGTTTAAAACATTCTTGTTTTTTGTTTGTACGAAGTAAATATTGAGTGATCATGAGAATCTCTAATTCCCAGTCATCTGGAAAATTCAGTGGCAGGAAATTCGGCCGGCATAAAGATACATGCTGTCTTTGTTTCCAAGGCTTCTGGTGAGAAACTAAAGAAATATGCAGGGCTTACAGATATGGAAGTGTGGCTAATACCAAGCTTTGAAAATTCAGCATGGTCAATTATGGCAATATCCTTCATCTCCCTGCTAGCAATGTCTGCAGTGCTAGCTACTTGTTTCTTCGTTCGCAGGCATAGAATAAGACGAGAACGCCCTCGAGCTTCTCATGTTCGGGAATTTCATGGGATGAGCAGTCGCTTGGTGAGAGCAATGCCTAGTCTGATATTTACTGCTGTTTTAGAAGATAATTGCACTTCAATCACTTGTGCCATATGCCTTGAAGACTACAGTGTAGGAGAGAAGCTCAGGATTTTGCCATGTCGTCACAGTAAGTTTTCATACTCCTTTAGATGTGGAAATTGCTTACAAATGTACACTTATATTCTCAGTAACATTTGTTTATACACACTCTTTTATCAGATAAAAAATAGTACCATACATCGTCAAACTTGAAATCTGTGTTTTGCATGTAGAGATGTAGATAGAAATTATACTTCTTTGTGCAGGGAAGAAATGTTTTCCCAATAGACCAGGGTTGATCCAAATGATTTACTGATTATAGACCAAAATTGGCCTTGCACGTGTTTTGGTTATTGGATAAACTTGTACACTAAAATCTTTCTTGAGGTGATAACTCGTGTAGCTTTGGAAATACAAATTCAGTTCCTGATACCATAAAAACTCCCTTTATTTTATTTATATTTCTCATTCTCTAACAATATGGTTGGCTCTTTCTCAAGCTAATGTGTCTATTGACTGTTTCTCTGTATCATGATCTAATATCTCAAATCTTATCTTATTTTGTATGTACGTCTCAAAAAATACTATTTCTGAACTTTGGCAGAGTTCCACGCTTTCTGTGTTGATTCTTGGCTTACTTCATGGAGGACATTTTGCCCGGTTTGCAAACGCGATGCTAGAACTTCCACAGGTGATCCACCAGCTTCAGAATCGACACCGTTGCTTTCTTCCAGCCCAGCTTCCGTAGCTTCCTCGTCTGTGCTGTCATCAGTGCGGTCATCACTAGCATCATCGTCAGCCATACAGATTGCCCCAGCATCCTCTCGTTCCCCTTCCCTTTCTCGTCCTTACTCTCTCGCAAGCACTTCATATGTTCAGCAATCTCTTAGGTCGTCCTACCGCCAATCACCCTCCCCGGGCGTAAGCCGGAGCTCATTGGATCTTCAGAATGCGTCTTCCCAGAGATCTCATGCTTCTCATTTGGTTTCAGGCTATTCCTTGGGTTACCCTTCTTTTTCGCCTCTTAACTCGAGATACTTGTCTCCGCACATTCCTAGCCCCAGCAATGCCTCACCGCCCTTTGTGAGCTCCTCTAGTCATCAGCACAACCCGCTGCATTGCAGTGAGTCTGCTGCGAGTTTCTCTCCGTTTGCTTCTGCTCAGTCCCTACCGGAATGTTGATCAAACCCTTGCGTGTGATTGAAAGTTGAGAGAAGAGAACTGACCCGCTTTAAACCTTCCAGGGAAGACAGAGAAAACCAGAGAAACGACAGTAAGTCCACTGTGCTTTCATATTACTACTTGCGTGTGATTGGGTTTCATCTATGCAGTGGCTAGTTTGTGCTGGGTTCTGCTTCGATGTTTCTTCATGTTGCATACTTGCGTGTACATTATTGCGTTATAGTGTAAGATTGCCATTAATTTTGAATTAAGAGAATTAGTTGCGTTTTTCTTTCTTTCTTTTCTTTTTTTTTTTTTTTTTTTTTTTAAGGGTTTTTCTGTATATCACAATCATCAAAAGTAAGTTCCAGAATGTGACATGATGCGGGTGATTTGTTGATATTGTGTTCAGCTTTGACGAATATATAGCTAAACTACTAACCAGGTTTTGATTTAATTTTAATTGTAAATCACGCTTTTTTATTTTTTTTTTTTGGGTACCACATACGAAGTCTATTTGTTATTCACTGGTACCATTTCGATGTTTAAATTGGGCTTAAATCTTATTTACTCGTGAGTGCGACAATCTACTAAAAAAAAAAAAAAGAAGCAATTAACATGGATTAAGGAAGTTATTTTCAAGAAGAAATCTTTTTTCCCACTATTATAAAATTCTCCACATCAGCAAGTTCAGGCATTGTTTACTTTGTCGATTCGAGTTTTGTTACAGTAAAAAGTTCTTAGAAACAGTCACATCTAACTTTTTTAGTACAGTAAAAAGTTCTCACATAACATCACATCTTAACTCGAATTAAAAATTTGAATCAGCGAACTAAACGAGAGTGGTAGTTGTGGGAAAAGCTTAATCGTAATTTCACACACGTGATGAGAGTTTGAATCCTCCTATCTTATATTAAAAAATTAAATAAATGTGTTTACCTGTAAATAATTGATTTATCGTAGTCAAATCTTGGAACGATTTATGTGAAAGTAAATTTATTAGTTAGAGATCCTATTTTTTAGCTGAATAGATAGAGATTCTATTTAGGGCGTGGGAAATCCGGCTACCCACAACAAAAGAAAATCACCAAACTATGTACATTAATTATAGGGTATATAAATTATAGAAAAGAAAACGGCAAAAGAAACGAAAGTGGAAAAGAAAAAACGACGAACAGACATAACCAAAAGGAAAAAAAGAGATGCAGACATAACCAAAAAAAAAAAAAAAAAAAAAAAAAAAAAAAAAAAAAAAAAAAACCTGATAGATCAAAGTCCAAACCAAAGAGATGGCCATACCTGATGCACAAAAAGAAATTCCAAAAATAATCACCAAACAAATAAAAAAAATTACGAGTAAAATCCGTCGGGAAGATGGAAAGAGAGATTCTGAAATGAACCAATGAATGCGAACCATCAAGCAAATAAAATAAAAAAAGTTGATTGAGTAAACTCCAATTAACATTAAATCAAATAATTGATTACAAAATATTCACCGAGGTTGAAAAGGAAAATCAGTATGTAACATATTATCAAAAAAATCAGCCCAAAAATACAAAAACTCCTCATATAAGGAACGTGTTCAAAATAAACTATAAGACATAACCGGTATTATATATGCCTGTACAAGTAGATATTTTTGTAATATGGTGATGTATTCGTGTCATGATTTGAATCATGGTTCGTAATTCGTTACAGTATTTTTTTTCATAAAAAACACACGTAAATTAAGAATAATTATGAATTCATGAACCAAACGTCCACGACGTAAACATTTTATGTAATTATTTCTATACGCAAAAACTGAGCTCTTGTGTGGGACTAACTTTCTATTAGTATATGATGTTGAACCCCACTGCCACTTGTGACACCTAGCATTGTTCGTCGCTTTGGCCACTAACAAAAAAACACTAGTGCTCAAACCTTCCTTTGAATTTGAGGTCATATTTTATCACGAGTATAACCGCAACATGATTAGGAAAATATGTAATTGTCTCAACTTCTCAAACTGGCAAACCAACTTCGTACTCCTCAAATAAATAATACTAAAAATTTTTATACATAACACCTACTTCAATGATGGATAGGAATGAAAAGAAGCCGTACAAAAATCAAAGTCACATGGAATAACTTCCAACCGTCCATAACGTTTGTAGACTTGCTAGCTATCGGCCCTGTCCTTCTTTCATCAGTTTTCACAGTTTGAATTCACCGCCTAATCCTGTCAAAAGTCCATGTTTAGTCTTCCTTTTCTCCAGATCTTTGCTCTCTGCTTTCACCATCAGTGACAAGCCTGCTAGATTGGTCAGCTCGGTCTCCGAGAGACTCGTCATCTCCTTTAATGGTTCGTATAATCATCATAACCGCAACAAGGAAAACAATTATGTATATAAGCTTGAAGCCAATTAGTGAATTTATAAAGCCAAGCACTGATGAACCGCCGATTCTTGTCTGTATTGTTCTTCCTTCCCTGTAACCTTCGAGGAATCGCGATATCTGTGATGCTTGATCCTCCTCTTCAATGCTTTCTGAACCAATAACCTGAAATAAAACAAAAATAGTGGGACTGCTACACCTACACGAGTTTCTTTTGTTCAAGCATGAAAGTAGCAACAAAGTAAATATGTCCTTCAAGCTTTAATTTTTGGCAGGAAAAAGAATAGGTTTAAAGTTTCCTAGTACATATAACAGACGAATTATTTTTACATAAACATGAATAATGCGACACATGGCCACGCTTACACCAATCTTTTTATACCAACTGATATTGGAAAATGGAAGGCAAGATGTTCTTATTTAAATCACTCACTCTCGAACGCAATGTTCATGAAAACCAAACCGTGCAAAACCACTTCTATATGCTTAATTAATGTGTCACGGTAGAACTCAATGAGAAGGAACCAAGTCATACAAGTATAATGACGCATACACCTCTTTATGAGAGGATTAGATCTTGTGGTTGCCCATGGCCACCAGGTTCCACAGATCTTAGAAAGCTTTAATGGCTGTTTTCCATTTCTAACTTTATTTAATTGTTTTTTTCCCCTATCTTTTTAATAATATTGATAACATAGGCAAAGAATCAGGTCGATTTGGGTGCCAACTTAGAATGGATGCATTTTGGCCATTCTAATATTCAAGGCTATCTGGTATATATATGTGTGTGTGTGTGTCTATGATTTGACAGAACACTCAAACTAACAAACAAACAACAAAAAGAAACAGAATAGGCGGAAGTAGAACTTTATGCCAATGCTCAGTGGAATAATCAGTGATGCACAGATCCAAGCAAGAAAGAGTATCATAAGTGATACGGTAACAAAATAGGCTAAAGTATTCCTTTATCTCTCTTCCCCTTAATGAAATAAACTCCAAAAAAATGAGGGGATTCGTTGAAAACGCATACACATACCATTTCAATGAATATGTACCAATCGATACATCGTATGTGCAGAGATACAAGCATCTAAATATACACAAGCACATGCATAGACAAATAGATAGTGTGCTGATGAAGATAGGATTCCAGTGCTTCAATTAACGATCAACTTTCTTCAGAGAAATAAAAGATGTAGAGGAAATCCGTGTCATTATCAGTAAATACAAGCACATACATCTTATATATTGCATTGCAAATGTACAAATATCTAAATGCACAACAAATATACAACAGTAGGATGCTGAAGGTAGGCAATGATTGTATTCCTTCAGAAACGAAGG